CGGGGGGGGGATCCAGTGGCGTCACAAGGGGGGTTCCGGGTGGCACCAAAATGACTGACAGTCACCTTCTCTGAAAAGTTGGGCACTCGGTCCTGAAAGTTGCACGAGAGTGGGGTAGAAGAACGTCCCCGCCTCCTCTTTGCCAGGGGTCCATCACCAAGATGGCTGCTGGCAGCTAAGCGTGCATGATGACGTCCCTGTGGGGTGTCACTCAGTGGCCTCTCTGGGTGACACCATGCCTGGGGACGCCCCTGCCCCCATTACATTTTTGCTATGGTGCCCATGATCTGTAGTTACACCCCTGTGTTTTGTATTCATGCAGACTTGTAAAGCTGCCCACTCTAAGGGCCCACACCAGACACATTGGGATGCGCTAGCCACTTTGTCACCCACCCCCTCATCACATGACTGCAGTCATGTTTTTATTGCTATCTGTGTGCCCACCAGAGAAACTTCCCTCACTTGACCTGTGTCCCCAGGACAGGAAGTGAGAGGACCTTTCCCCAACAAGGTCACATGACAGTAGTTTTAATCCTTCCCCACTGAAAACGGTAACCAACATTAAAGCAGGAGTTTCACATTAAAAGGACAGCTTGTTTCTGTCTAGACAAGTGTTACAAATGTACCAAGAGTTCCCCTTTAGCTTTCCATTTCCTCTACTTCTGCACAAGTCTCAGTGTCTCTTGCGGTCATTTGATGTCATGGCGAGCAAGCCTGTGTCTACATAGAGCATGCTCGGCCTGCGCGGGTACCGGCTTTTCACTGCCGCTATCGCTTTTCTTTCTATGACAATAATAGCGCAGTATTCTGATACAACAGCTGCGGGAGCGCAGACAGTCACTCGTGTGTCCACCTCTTATGCCTAATGTGAGCCTTGGATGGCGCTTCCTGCCAAAAGTCTGATGTAACCGGCCATATTTAGCAGCCTGACCCCTCCCGGGGCAAGGGGTGACGTTGAGGGCAGCCAGTTTGGGCGATGGCAACGTCTGGAAGCCCCAGCCGGGACAGGATCCGTACGGTTTTCTCTGAGGCATCTTCAGTTTCCCCCGGCTGTGCGATCTCAGCAGAATGGTGATAATTCATCGCTGTCATATATTGGAGGTGACCTTGGCGGGCAGCTGGGAAAGGGCCAATGAACAGGTTATTATTTCCCTCTGTTAAGCAGTTCTATTACACTCTTAATAAATATTGCTTGTGCAGATCCCCAGAGTGCACAGAACAGCACCTCGCGGCGTGGACGGTGTACTGGACTCGGGAAAACAAAAGATGGATATATGATGAAGAGGCCCGGGGAAGGGGGGGGCACCTACCAAATCCTTTGACCTAAATAACAGAGAAACATTTAGCATGCTAAAGCAGAACTTTGGCAAATCCTGTTTGTATCGAAAATGGAAACATTGTAGAGCCGAAGGTGGGTCTCTGGAGCTTCGCTGATTTATGTGGCGGGTGGTCAACATCGCACTCCTGACCAAACAGAAACCGCTTGGAGTTGGGCGGATGCACAGAGTGACTACGTATGCCTCCCGTGAATCAATAAATGAATGTAGAAAAGGTCACTCTCACTACATTCAGCTTTACATACCCCACACTTCAAGGATCATGGCTTTCAGACCTCGCCTGGTCCTGGCACAGTCAAAACACCAGTATACTGAAGCCACTTCATTCTCTTGTTTGTCTTGCTTGACTGCAGGTTGGTTGTAAAGGTGAAGAGACACGCACAGGTGAAGAGACATGAGAGAAGAAACCTTGGTGCTTAATTGTAGGGCCGTGTCCCATTAGCAGTCATGTTGATGGTGGCAACTAACCAGGTACAGGGTTGCTAAAGAGAGAACTAACTTGCGTCAAGGATGTCGGTCACTCGTTGGTTGCCGAATCTCTCTGATTACCAAATCTCAACGGTGACCAATAACGTGCTGGCTTGCCAGGAAGCAGCAACAGAGCCACGCAGCTAACTACAGGCTGTTTTTCCATTGGTGATCCTGCCACTATCTTCCTGTGCTAGGGTGACGACACTCACCCACAGAATTGTATCGGGGAAGCAGTGTTGCCACCCTAGGACAAGACTACAGTAAGCTCCCCCTCTCGTCTCTTACGTAACATTGTGATAGGGGTACTCGGGTATAACTGAAAACAATGTGATGGATAAAAAGGGCAGCACAAGCATAACAGGTATTCTTTTTTTTTTTTTTCCCCATTCAAAGTTTTCTGTTACTCCCGTTGCAAAGTTGTTGTCAATAATAACTTTTCAGAAAAGAAAGAAGATGCAACACAATAAGTTACATTGTCACTCCTGCCCCTAGGTGTGCTCCCTGATCGCCCTGCATGGCCGCTTAGGCCCGGTTCCCACCTGGGCGTTTTTCTGCGCTTTCGTACTTGCAGAAAAACGATCAAACAGGGAAATGCCATTATTTTCAATGTGCATGGTTCCCATCTGGGCGTTTGTCTGCGAGTACGAACGCGCGGGAAACCGCCCTACGCCCAAAGAAGTACATGTACTTCTTTGGGGCGTTTTGGTCGGGCGTTTCCATTGGGAAACGGCCAACTAGCCCTCGGAAACGCGCGTTTGTCTACCACGAATCGCTGTAAAAACGCGCGACCCGAACCGCGCATATTCAATCCGCCTAGGTGTGAACCCAGCCTTACACCCTTTGCTTTCTAGATCTGCTTTCAGAAGCTCTGCCCGGGTGCGGCGGTGACATCCAGGAACAAAACATAAATGTTAACTTTCCACACTAATTAAGCAGATTGAAAAAAACACATAAACGTCATTTAGAAATGCCTGGGGAAGATAAAATGATTATTTAGGAGGCCCGGCCAACTTTAATCTCTGCGGTTCATTGCAAGTTGTGTAACGCCGGTCATACTGAAATACCGGAGCTCTGAGTATTAACCACAGCTGCGGCATCTTCCTGTCAGATAATAGACTTATTATAGTCCCTGAGATTGTCTGGCAGCTCAGTCATGAGACTCGTCACAAGCGCAACGCTTTATAAGAGGGCGACCTATTGCACGCGGAACCGGCGTATTCAGTGGATTATTTCACCCCTCAGTCAAATGATAAAGACTACAATTTAGAAATACTTTGACGTAAAGTTATTTAATGGACACGTGAATGGTTGCAGAAGCACCAGAATTCTTGCCTTGGCTAGAGAAACCATTGGACAAGGTGGCCAGTCACATGACCAAATGCCTAGTCATTGGAGTTATAAGCTAAAGTGCATTTGTACCTTCCCTATATTGAGCAAAGTAACAGTTTCTCTTTAGAGTAGGGACTTTTTCCAACATTTCATTACTTCCCCCATCCAGGAATGAAAACTGGTATTTATGGGTAGATGGGGCATTCCTGGAGCCTGCAACAAATTGAGTTTATAAGAATCAGACACTTTCTTGGAATCCAGTGGCAGCGTGTATAGTGATAGCTGCACGGTATGCGGAGAGGAGGAGGGAGTCTTGGGAAAGTAAAGTACATACTCCCTATGGTCCCTGTCATAGTAAGGTGAACTTTATGTTTTTTAAGCAATGTGGCTGCAATACTCTTATTCATCAAGAAGCTGCCCGTTGCAGTACCTCTTCTTTTGTCTTCCGGGTTGACTGTCACCCAACAATACTCAACCTGGAAGTCTGAGGAAAGACTGAGCGCAGGGTGTCCATGACTTCACCCCGGGAGCACAGCCCCCTGCACTCAGTGTATTGACACAGATAAGGGCACTAACGTCAACACGTTGGCGCTGCTTTCTGGATCATACTGCACTGCTGGAAGATTAGGTAAGAGGAACAGGACCCAGCGTGCCCCATGACCAGCAAGAAGACATTAGAAAAATGTAAAGTAAAAAGCAGAACATACTGCTGGCAGGTACCGCCGTTAAGGAAGAGGGTACTATGCGGAAAGGAAGCGCAAAACCTGGAGTTTGGCTTTAAATGTGAATATTTTAGTTGGGTCAAGTTTTGAAGGCCTGTGTTGACGGGCTTTGGGCTTGTGTCAATGGCATCAGTTTGTCGTCCGTTTGAGACTCTTCTGAAATCATTCACATTTATTGAAGATGGTCTCCTTTTGACGTACAGTTGACCTCCTTTTCCCCTGCATTTGACCCTGTAGTTGACCTTCTGACATAAGTTTGACCACCTTCTGACCTGCATTTGACCCTGCAGTTGACCTCCTTTTAAAGTACATTTGACCTCCTGACCTGCATTTGGCCATGCAGTTGACCTCCTGATCTGCATTTCACCCTGCCCTTGACCTTTTAATGTACGGGTGACCTTCTCCTGGCCTGTATTTGACCCTGCAGTTGACCTCCTGATCTGCATTTCACTCTGCAGTTGACCTTCTTTTGATGTACGTGTGACCGTCTTCTGACCTGCAGTTGACCTCCTGACCTGCATTTGACCCTGCAGTTGACCTCCTGATCTGCATTTCACTCTGCAGTTGACCTTCTTTTGATGTACGTGTGACCGTCTTCTGACCTGCAGTTGACCTCCTGACCTGCATTTGACCCTGCAGTTGACCTCCTGATCTGCATTTCACTCTGCAGTTGACCTTCTGCCCTCCATTTGACCCAGCAGTTGACCTCCTTGTAATGTACATTTGACCTCCTGACCTGCAGTTGACCTTTTCCTGACCTGTAGTTGACCTGCTTCAAATGGGTTTTACATTCCCATAGACTGGTACGTGGAGCTATATGAACGAAAGCCCGCCAGCACAGGCCCTTATGTGTTGTCTGTGCTTCAATTACCTAATGTATTTCTGTGGATGTGTAACTGTGCTTTGGCTTCCCCGTGTTGGACGCAAAAGGGGTTAATGGCCCCCTGCAAGGGGTGCCCGGAGGTCGACATTTTGTAGCGCTCGCCCTACTGTGGATTCCGTGCCGTCGACAGGCGCAGCAGCAGAGGGCCGAGGGAAAATAACAGCATATATGAAATGATAAATGTTTTGTAAGTGGATGTCACAGATTTAATTCCATTTCAGGGCCTGTCGACAGCACAGAATCCACTTGAGTTTGTCTCTCGCCGTTTATAATGTCACTGAACTCTAGAATGAAATTATTTGGCAGTAATTCAAGCCTCTCTG